TTTGCCTCCGCTTCCGGCACGATTTGCATAGGCGCCTTAGCAGTTCCCAGCAGCCCTCGTGGTACAGTGGGTAGAACAGCAAACAGGGTTTTAACGCCGGTTAATAATATGTTGGTCACAAGTACGCATGAAAAATAGATATACTTTGACCTAATAAGAAGCGTGAGTCACTAAGACAGTTCCGAAGTAGTCACCCTTAGTGAAAAGAATTTCATTATTAGCACTATAAATAGATCCCAGAGAAGCAATTTCAACGTGCTCGCTTCGGCAGCACATATACTAAAATTGGAACGATACAGAGAAGATTAGCATGGCCCCTGCGCAAGGATGACACGCAAATTCGTGAAGCGTTCCATATTTTGCTGCCCACCTCCAAGAATAAGGCAGGTGGGTTTTTTTTCCCCCTTCTATTTGACCGTCCTTCTATCTTCAAACATCACCTTCATGCTTTCTCCAAAATGAGCTGTCTTCCCGTCAAACCTCCACAGTCTGGGCAATACGGAAAGACCTCCTGCCTTGGAGGGAGGGTGCACCCAACCCCCCTGAACTCTCCCGGATCCTAGGGGTCGCTGCAGGATGGGGTTGGGAGGTGCCCCAGGTCTGGAAAGAGCAGTCAGATTGGGTGCCCAGTAGGGCTGCAGTGTGGCCATCACCCCTGGAGTGTGCTTTCTTACTTGCTCTGTGCCTCTCCAGAAAGTGCACACGCCCTGCAGTAGAATTATAGGAAAGATCTCCTGCCCGGCTCCAGCGGCCAGCGCAGAGAGGCCCCACGCGTGTGTGTCCCCAGTATTCGGAGGCGTTCAACCGCAGGCACTCCCTGGGCCCAGTACTTGCGCACCCACACAGGCGAGCCCTCCGCGAAGGCTGGCTGTGGGAGGGCCTTCACAGGGCGTCATTGCTCAGGCACCACCTGCGGACCCACACTGGGAGAAGCCCTACCCCTGCGGGGACTGCAACGAGGCCGCCTGCCAAGGTGCCCACCTGGCCCTGCACGGGGAGACACCCCACAGCTCCGCGACCGCTCCTCCTGACCCAGCCCTCGCACGCACGTGGGCCAGAGCCCCTAAGGCTGCGGCGCTGCAGAAGGGCCTTCAGCCAGGTCCTTCCCGGTCAGGCACCAGGAAACCCACGGGTGGAAGATGCGCAAGATCGTGGCCTTTGGGAAGGCGTCCTGGCCAGCACCTGCCCAGCCCCGCCCCAGACACTGAAACTGTGTTCCAGTGTTTAATTTGCTCGAAGGCAGTGCACTGGCCAGACGGAGACGGAGGAGGCAGGGAGGAGGCGTCCCAGACGGGGAGGCCACACTGCAAGCCCTTCCCCATTCTCTCCCTGGGATGCTGGGCACACACGCAAGCACTTAGCATGTTTAAAGCTGCCGGTTCCAGGACTCGGACTATGTAGTCGGCCATGTGGGATCCAGCCTTCTTAACCACCACGCCACCGGCTGGCCCGCTGTGATGAATTTTTGGAGAATTCATTTTGTTTATGTTGTTAAGTTTATTTCTTCCATGAGAGACAGGGAGAGACAGAGACAGGCACACTCAGTAGGGCTCCCCTGCCACAGCCCACCCCAGCTTCAGCTCAGGCGCCCAGGGAGGTCCGGGGCCTCGCTGCAGTCCCTGCCCCAGTCCACGGCTCTACGTCACAGCCCTGAAGAGAGGTCTAGAGCCCAGGGGCCTGTCCCTCCTCTGAGCCACTGTGCAGAAGGTAGGGGGCGCCACGAGGCGCCAGCACGTCCAGCCACGGTGTCCCAGGTGTGTTCCGAAATGAACCATGTTACACACCTTCGCCTCAAAAAAATAAAAAGCTTGGTGGAGCAGGCCCAGTGGCCTGGGGGTCAAAGGAGCCAAGTCCCATCCCACATGGTAAACTGAGGTTCAAACCCCAGTCCTGAAGGCTTGAAACATACGGGGCAGGCCAGCAGGTGCCGGGCTGCGTGGTTCAAGACCTGGACTCAAAGAGCAGCTAGAAAATCACCCCAGCATGTCCGAGTATTGGAGAAAAATGGGGGGAGGGGGCGCGGTGGTGAAGGGCACTGGACTCCCACATTGTCGACCAAGGTTCGAGTCCTGGGCACATTAAAATAAATAGTTAAATAAAACAATTCAGTAAAAGATCAGAAGGGGACTCTGGGCAGACCAGCAGGTGGTGTGGTGGTTAAAGACACTGGACACTCCCACATGGCCGACAACGGGTTTGAGTCCCGGACTGGGTGGCTTGCTTTCTCACTTTCCCTCTCTCCCTTTCTGTGTCTCTCTCTGGTTGAATTAAAATAAATGAATGAATAAATAAAAAATTAGAGAATTCTTTTTTTTGGGGGGGGAGAGATTTTCACTATAGGGTGTGTGCGCTCGCCAGACAGAGAGACAGAGAGACAGAAAGCGAGAAATCACCCCCCAGGGGGGATGGCCACGCCACAGTCCCTTCTCCTCCATTCTCCTCTCGGGATCTTGGGCACGCACGCACACGCGCCCGGCGTGAGTTTTAAGCCACCGGGTCCAGGACTCAAACCGCAGTCAACTACATGGGAGTCCAGCGACATAGCCATTACGCTAACTGCTGGTTTCCAAAATAGAGAATTATTTTAAAAAAATAATAAAGTGGGTGGGACTCTGGGACACAGAGACGCGCACAGGGGAGGCACCACGTGATGGCAGGCAGCGCCCGGAGGTAGGTGGCCACCGGCCCTGGACGCTGGCGCCCTCAGGAGCAGGAGAGGCAGGAAGGACCCTCCCCAGAGCCTTGGAGGGGCCCGACCAGGTCCCCCTGGATCTCTGACCTCTGGGGCTACCTGGTCCAGGCTGACAGAGGTGGGGTTCAAACCCTGTTCCCAAGGGGCAAAATGGGGGCAGAGGTGGCTGGGGTATGGGGGTACCCATGTTAGCGAGGGATCTCTTTCACTGAAGCCCTGACCCTTGGGGTCCCCGGCCTGGCCCAAAGAAAGAGCAGCACACTGAAGCCAGAGCACCAGAAATTTACTGAACGCCGTTTCCCAAGCACAGCCAGGCACACAGGGGCTGTCCCTACGCAAGGTGACCAGTGCGGACACTCCGAGCCCTCAGGCCAGGGCAGAGGGACATGAGGAGGGACGGGCACTGCAGGCGGTGGCTTCCACTGGAAGTCCAGGCCAGTGTGTGGGGGGCTGAAGGGCAGGGCCCGCAGAGCAGGTAGGATGCACAGGACAGGGAGCACAAAACCATCCCGACACGGTGTCCCCGGGGCTGTGGGCACGCACACGCACACGCACACGCACACGCACACACCGAGATGCTCCTGGGCCGGGGCGGGTCCCAGCCCAGCCCCACCCGAGCTAAAAGCCTGGTAGGCCTCCCGCCCACTTATCAGCTGGGGCGAGCTTTTGTTTTTTTCTCCAAAATGGAAATTTAAAAATGTACAACAAATCATGCCAAATTCATTAAAAGCGATAAAAACCCATCCTCTCCCTCCTGGTTTGGGCTTCAGACTGGGACGAAGAAGCCAAACAAAGAAAAGAGCGAGGAAGTGCCCGGGTCAGGTCTCCCGGCCCAAACCCAGTCCTAGCGCAGGAAGCCAGGGGCCGGGCCAGAGCTGGGTGCCAGGGGCGACCGCGCCCACCGGGGCGACGGGCTGGGAGCTCTGAAACGCCGGGCGGTCCGGCCGCCATCAGCTCTGCTGCTCCAGGTAGGCGGACAGCAGCAGCCCCGGCGGCAGGAAGTCCAGGTGCCGATTGCTGACCCTCATCTGCCGCCTGCCCTCCAGGTCGGCGCCTGTGGGTGGGACAGACGGGCAGGGGCTGAAGGGACAGAAGGAACGCGTCGCCCTCCCTGTGCGATCCCCGCGGCGGGGTCACCAGCAGGTGCTGTGGGTCTGGCGGACCCAGACCCAGGCCCGGTCCGGCCCTCCGCAGCCAGGCTCCCTCACAGACAGGCCGCTGGGACACGCAGGCCCCAGCAGGGACACACTCCCGGGGCCCTGAGGGCACCGGCCTGGCTGCGATGGGCCTGGACCCTCCCTGTCCCTGCCCTCGCCCTCCCTCATGCCCTCCCTCATGGCGCCCTCATGCCCTGCCCTGTCCCCCTCCCGCCGTCCACCGGGTGCCACAGCCCCACCCGTTCCGGGGTCCAGGAAGCCCAGGCCCCTGCTGGGAAACGGGGAACAAAGGCCCTGGCTAGGCCACCCCCCCCACGAGGAGGAAGCTGGGGTCGCCTTGGAAACTGTCTCCTGGGCAACTCCAGGCAGGAGGCAGAGACAGGTGCCATCAGGTGCCTTCGGAGGCCCTCCCCACACCCAGCCCAGAGTCACCCCCGCGGGGAAACCAGTGTGGGCCGGGACCAGGCCTCAGCCACATGCGGTCCGCGCTGGCCGGGCCGTGGCGCACGTGACTCAGGCTTCCTCTCCGAGGGCGCAAACGGAGACGCAGCGGTACCCCAGCGCCACCCTGATGCTAGGACAAGCCCTGCACCACCCTCCGTCCAGCCCTAGCCCCAGGGCCCCGCGGGCACTCACTGGCCGACAGGAGGTCCATGTACTGGCACACGGCATGCAGCAGGAGGCGCTCGAAGCTGCGGGGTGGGGCGGGGCGTGGGCGGTGAGCGGTGGACGGGCGGGCAGGGGGCGGGGCGAAGAGT